CCACACAGACAGATGCCATGCCCATTCTCCCCTCGTGGTGTCTCTGTGCCATCTCACCTACCCATCCCTCCCATCCCATCCCATCAGCCTGCACCAGTTCCGTGCGGTGAATCTGTCGATGTTGATCTATTCCTTCGCCCTCGGAGGCGGCCCCGGCAACAGCCCGCTGTTCAAGTATGCCGTCCATCCATCCATCCAGACAGACAGACAGACAGACAGCCAGACACGCACCCGACACATATATGCATCATGTGTGTTGTCTGCAGACAAGTGGCCGACAAGGCGATAGTCAAGTTGGAGGACTTCAACCCCCGCGGAATCGCTAACCTGATCCTGGCCTTCGCAGTCGCCAAGTGAGTGAGTGGGTCCGTGTGTGAGTGAGTGGCCCACACCACACAGTCAGTTGATGTCTGTCTCTTGTGTCTTCATCTTTCATCATGGGTGCATGTAGGTGTGAGTATGAGAAGTTGTTCCGAAGCGTTGCAGAATACATCGTCAACCGACTCCAGTGAGCACACACCACACTCACACTCACACCCACACTCACCCCACCGGGTCTCCCCTGTGGCCAATCTTTCCTTTCATGTGTCAGTTCCTATTCGCCCCAGCAGCTGACGCACATTTGCCTGGCCTTCGCCATGCGCTACTCGACCGACCACGGCGCCCGGCAGCAGCTCCCCCGGCCCATCCAGGCCTCAGACAGCACCGCCTCATCCACACTCAGCGACCCCATGCGCGAGGAGGCCACTGAGGACGAGTACCACCTCCTGTCGTGGCGCCGTGTGGCCGCCGCCAGGGAGATGGCCGAGAAGGGGAGCGGTGGGGAGGGTGGCAAGTGGTTGTTTGGCACAGCAAGTGGGTCTACCTCGACCACTGTGGAGTCGACGGACAAGGCGACGGAGCGGCAGATCAAACCATACGAGAAGGCCTTGTTCGATGACCTGGCTAAGGTCAGATGGCTGGAGAGGCGCATCCATGAAATGATATGGCGGGTGGTGGAGATGTATGTCTGTGTGGTTGATGCAGATGATATCGTTGCGTTTGCCGGAGTTCCGCCCTTCGGAGCTGTCTGACTGCATGTGGGCCTTCAAAACCACCAACCAACCTGACATCCCGATTCAACAGGTACACGCACGACACGCCGACCAGACAAGATAGATGATCTCACTCCTTATCTTTGTGTCTGTCTCTTGTGTGCAGGCGTTGGAGAGCCACCAGGGCTCGGGTGGTCGATCCCGCCCTCCACACGGCGACTTCATGGTGGTCACCCCGCCGCCAGGATTCCCCATCTATCCCGATCACTCTCACAAACACCAAACCATGCAGCAGCAGCACCCGCACTACAACCAGGACAACCATCCCCAGCAGCAGCAGCAGCAGCAGCAGAAGATGCACTGGCAGGCCTCGCCCCCGCGACCCCACATGCACCACCCCGGATCCTCATACACCCATTCCTACACGATGGACCTTCCCCGCCACCTCACCACCTCTTCCATCTCCACCACCAGCACCAACGATTACGGCATCCACTTCGCGGCCCATCCGCAGATGGTGGGCGATTCTGGAGGGGGCGGTCTGCATCAGCGGCGGGGCGTGGCGGGCGATGGCAAGGGCGGAGGCGGCAGTGTGGCCCACCAACACCAAAACCAGATCCAGCAGCGGCAGCCGGACCGTCGTGCTGACAAGGTGCTGTGGGCGTCGCTGTTCGCCTGCATGCTGTTTGCCCTGTTGATCCTCTTTGCGTCCTTCCTCAAGGGCCAATTCCGCACCAGCACGTCCTACGTGCTGCCCGACGTCCCCCACGGCCACCACCAGCAGCACAACCAGCTGTACCAGGACAGCAACGGGGGAATCGGCATTGGCGAAGGCGGCGGTGAGATGTGATAGTGCAGGTTGAAGAGAATGGAGTGGAGTGGAGTGGCCGGGCGGCTGAGTGAGTGAGTGAGTGAGTGAGTGCACTGACTGACCGAGTGGATAAGTTGAAGTCTGCATGATTGGGTGGATGGATGGATGGATGGACTGGCTGCGTTGATTGCGTTGGTGGTCGAGAGCTTTCATTTCATCGAGGACCCGATCGAAATCGTTATCTTCAGTCAAAGAGGAACGTTCGCGGGAGCTGTGTGTCTGTTGTCAGTCTATTGTGGTCATTCGGCCAGAAATGCGCTCTGTCAATCGGTTCATTCATTCCTCACCCTCTAGTTGCATCAGTCGCTTGCGCTCTAGCACATCAACAGAGAAACAAAGGAAACAAAGTTTAAGAGAAGAGACACGGCAGTCATGAGTCACGCTCACCTTGATACGATTGCTTCATGGATTCCCGCCTCAGCCTCTTGGCCCCTGCCTCCCGGGCAGACTCATCGTTGAAGTCGCTCAATTCCTCATCGATCACCGCACCGAGTCCAGCGAGGTCGTTCACGACATCATTGTAGCTAAGAAAAACAAAAGCACACATTGATCAGGCTTGAGAAGAAAGGGAGGAGAGACCTACCTTCGCTTGGTCTGTGTGAGGAGTCCGGGCCGTCCCTGTCCCTCGGCCGACACATCGACGACGGCATTGCGCACTGACATGGGAGGAGCCTGATCCACAGCAGACTGGAAGGGCCGCCGTACCTGTGAACACGCAGTGACATTAATGTCTTGCTTGTCTCTTCGTCTCTCTTGCTTACGTGGACGAGGTAAGGCACACTCTCTTGGTGACCAGCAACCAGCCACACGCAGCAAATGAGCACAGAGGCGAGCAAATGCAAATGCATTCGGGCAGTCATCGTGCTTGCGTGTCCGCGCGTGTGTGGTGTCTCCCTTTCTTTATTGTGTGGCTGCGAGCGATCGACACACAAACATGTCTGCGTGTACACATGTACATTGGGTGGGTAGGAACCAGCGATTCGATTGATGTGATGTGAATGAATGCGATCGATGTCCCCACACAAACAACAAACAAACATACAAGCAGACAGGTGGGCGGGGCAGGCAGGCAGGCAGGAAGGTAAGGGAAGAGCAAGGGTCATAGACCAAACAATCAGTCTGTGAAGCAATCAAGCGATTCCCAAGAACTCCGACGCCTCTCCTTTGGGCTTCTCCGGCCCCTCCACCTCAAACAGCATCCACCACTGGCTCTGGTTGGCCCCGTCGCAGGACCGCAGCTTGACGTCGTCCGACGTCGCCTGCAAGCACGCCCCCTGCCGCACGCTCTTGAACTGGTAGAAGCCCGCCCCGCCCACTACAGTGCCTGCCGCCTCGCTGACAAGGCTGCTGACGTGCCAGAGGGACGCGCTGCTCTTGTCACACTTCTTGACGGTTGGCGAGCCGAAGTCGTTGTAGAGGCACTTGGCGCCCTCGCCCGTGCCGCTGACTATCTTGTAGGCAGGAGCGTCGAAACGGTCGTGTATCTGGAAGCCAGAAGCAGGAGGGGAGACCGGGAGAGAGAGAGGGAGAGGAATGGTCATGATGTGCGTACCGATATAAGTCTCCACTGCTGTTTGGGGTCATCGGTCTTGCATGGTCGGAGGGAGTGGTCTTTTGCCCAGCTGTACAGGCACTTGCTGTTCTTGGGCGAGTGTGATTGGAACGACGCATACGCCTGCCCCTCCTCGTCTGCGTTGGTGGGGAAGTCCCCAGAGCACCCACAAATGCCCGTTCGGCCCAGCTCCCGCTCCTCTGCCCTCTCGACAAGGCAGCATCGGTCGGTGTCGGCCTTGATCCCCGCATAGCAGCGGTCCTCGCGCTCCACAATGCTTGCACACGACATGGTGGCCCCTTTGCTCTCGATGACGGTGGTGTGGAGGAAGGTGGGCCTGCCCCATGCAGTGCAGTAGAGACGATGGTTGCCGTAGGCACAGTCGGCGTTCAGCGCGGACACGTTGATGGTGTCGTCTGTCTCCTGCGCGTCGACTGTGTGGTGGGGGACCACAAACAAGAGGAGGCACACGAGGACGGCCTCCGTCACTGTCGTCATTGTGCGTGTTCGTGCGGGATGGGCCGATGACGCGATGAATGCTCAAACAACGGAAAAACGAAAACTGATGTACGAACTGAAGTGGGGCCGCGGCCAGCGAGATGGCCGGGATATCAAACGAATCTAAGTTCTCCACACCCATCACGCAATCGTCATCAGTCATCCTGTGGCTCCTGCTTGGTCACCACCCCAGCAGGTGGTGCAGCAGGTCCCGGCCCCCCCTCGTCCTCATCCGGCTCTTCTTTGAGCATCTGTGACACCATTGCCTCGAGCTTGACCTCCGGCACGGCCTGGGGCCGCTGTGGCGAGGCAGCGCTACGCCTCGGACGCTTGTTGGACGGGATGGCGCCGCCAGTCCGACGTTTGCGGCTCTGACCGACCGACCGACAGACAGGCACACACGGCAAGACAGCAGTGGTGTGACGATTGGAGAGGAGAGATTGTGTCTCTGGTTGGTTGGTTGGTTGTGCGTGCGCACCGCTCGTTGGGTCTGTGTTTGGGGTCTTGATTCGAAATCGGCATCGTCGCCGCCCAGCACCTCCTCGAACAACGCAGCCGCCGCGGGATCTGACCAACGACACACAATCATGACCCTCGGCCACGGCCACATCTGTGTGCATTGGCAGCCCACCTTCTTCCATCTGTCGCACTTCCTCGTCTATGTCATCCTCCATCTGTTCCCCGGCGCCATCCGCCGCCCCTGCAGGTGCCTCATCCGGCTGGTTGGCAGCAGGGGGAGGCACGGGCGCTTCCGTCTCCTCGCCAGTCGTGTCCTGACGCTCACGCACCGTGGCAGAGTCATCCACTGGCGGACGCACTGTGGCGGATTCGTCCACCGGTGGTCCAGGCGGGGCGACCATCACCTGAGCAGGGGGCGGGGGCATCTCATCGACGGCTGGCGGGGCTGGTGGCGGGAATGGGGCAGGCTGCTGCTCTTCCTCCTCTTCGATGATGTCGTCGGCCTCCGCAGGGGGCGGTGCCGCTGGCGGTTGCTCCTCCTCTTCCTCTATGATGTCGTCGTGGGCCGCCTCACGCTCATTGTCGTCGGCTCGGCCGCGATTGAAGATGTCCTGTCCTGGGCGGTAGTCGTCCTCCTCTTCCTGCTGCTCTTGCTCCTGCTCGAGCGGCATGTCGTCATCCTCAGCATCAGCCTCCTCGCCACCCCTCTCCTCTGGCTGAGAGGCCTCCTCCTGCTGGTCTTGCTGCTGGTGGCGTTTTTTCTTTTCCTTCTTCTTCTCCTTTTTCTTCTTGGCCTTCTCTTTCTTCTTCTTGTCTTTCTTCTTTCTCTTGCGCCGCTCCTCCCGCCCTGCCTCCTCCTCCCCATCGCCGGCATCGTCGTCCATGCGCTCGTCCTCTCCGCCACGCGGGCCCTTGACGCGACGCTCGAGCACCTGCAGAAAGTATGAGTGCATCAATGAATGGGCGGCGGGTCGGGTGGCACTCGTGTGGGTTCAGTACATACCTCTGTGTCTTGGATGAGTGCCTTCTTGATGATCGACAGCCGCGACCGGAGCTCCTGCGACATGGGCGAGAAGACACACACATGGGTGGTGACGGTCTGTGTCTTTGGATGTGTAGAGTGCTGTCGTACATTGAGATCGGTGTTCCTGTCCATTGTCCACTCTGAATGTCATAAGCAGTACAGCACGGCACGTGCATCGACTTGTCGCATGTTCCCACTCACCTGAGTCTTGCTCCGTCGCTCCGAGTGCCTCGAGGATGCGGCCGACGAGGGGGTGTCCCAGGCAGTCCTCAGCATGAAGGCCGGGAGCCTCAATGCGGAAATCCTCCACACTGCACACATAACAGACAAGGAGAGCGACTCGCACAATGTATGTGGCCGTGTGTGGTGTGAATGGTCAGCTCACTCGATGCCGCCCTCTCGGTTCTCCTCGGCACCCTCACGCCAGCGGTCGATGTCATCCTGACGCCGAGACACACATAGTCACATGCACATGATCCCTCCATTCTCTCCCCTGTCTGCCACTTCTCTTGTCCGTACGCAGATGTCGCGAATGAGGTCCCGGTCGATGCCGCTGTCCACAGCAGCGGAGGCGTCCACCTCGAGCACCGTCTTGTACAGCAGCTGCTTGAAGGCCTGGACAGCCTCGTCGCCCCCATCCGACTCGTCATCCGCATCGCCCTCGGCATGCTCCTCTCCCGCCGGAGGGTCGGCATACGCTGAACGGATGGAAGCCACACACAGCCGGGAGGTGACATGAGGCGTCATCGAGACGGATACATGATCGACTGACCGGCGAATGGGTCTGGCATGTCTCGTGGCTGGGGTCTCCTGCGTCTGAAGATGTCCTGCTCGCCGTCGTAGTCGTCCTCTTCCTCCTCTTCGCCATCGCTGCGCCTCTGCTGCTGGTCGCCCTCCTGCTCTTCCTCGTCCCTCTGGCGACGGCGCCGGCCGTGCAGACGGTCCTCGAGGTCCTGAGCCGAGCGGTGGGTGGAGAGGAAGGGGGGAACACAGAGAGAGGGAGGCAGATGTGGACACATGTGCTTTTGTGTTGGTGTGTGTCGCGGTGTGCCATGACCTCTTCGCTGAGCTCGAGGTAGTGTTTGAGCTTTTGCAGGCGCTTTTTGAGGTTCTGAAGGAAGGATGAGAGAGAGACATATATTCGGAAATGCAGGGGTCTGTCTGCATGTGTATTGGCTTCCTATGTACCGACCGATACGGGCTGGGCGCTCAGAAAGGTCCAGAAGATGTTCTCTGCAAGGAGAGCAGACACAACAAACCAAGGACAGAGAGAGAGAGAGAAAGATGTCTCTGGTCTGCTCTGCTGCGGTGGTTGAGGTGTCTCTCTCTTTCCTGACCTCCTCCTTCCTCAGCGTCATCGGTGGGCTCCCTGGCGCCGAGTGCCCTCAGCAGCAGACAGAAGTCGGCGCTGGCGTGGAACTCCTCTCGATACTCCTCGTCCAGCTGAATGGGAAACTCACGCCTTGACGGCACACACATAGAGACAGACAGAAGTACAGGCGTCTAGATGCACCCATGTGTGTGTGTGTGTTGTCATGTGTACATGGCCTCGAGGTCTTTCATCTGGGCCTCGATGCGCTCGTCCAGCACTTGGATCAGCTCCTGGTTGGGCCGCTCTTTCTTCTCCTCCTCCTTTGTCCTCTCCCTCAGCTCGTGGATCTCCTTCTGCCGGTCGGCACGAAAGGCCAGCCACCCACTCAGCTCCTTGTCCTAAGCACCACACACCACACCACACCACACACCTCATCCACACTGCTGTCTCTTCCTCTCCTCCCTCCCTCCCTCCCTCCCTCCATCCATCCATCCACTGGCTGACCAGCTTGATCTCAATGACGGTCTCGGGCGCTTCGGAGAAGTCAGCGGCGTGTCTCTTGAGCTCGTACACACCCTGAAGGAGCGGCCGTCGCCACTTCGGGTTGCGCCAGCCCTGGTCCTTGTCAGGGTCCTCCTCGTTGTCCTCGCCCGCCAGACGTTTGGCGTTGTCGTCGTCGCTGGAGGGTGCGTCATTCTTGCGCTCCTTCTTCTTCTTGAGCAGACCCAACTTGACGAAACGACCATACACCTGACAGAAAGAAGACGAGAGGGAGAGGAAGTTGTGTGTGTTCGATCGGTGCGGTGTCGTGCCTATGTGATTCTCTCTCTCGCCTTTTTGGCTGTGATGTTTCTGCCAGGGAATCGGTCTGCGATGGTCTGCAGCCACTGGTTCTCGCCCATCTCTGCATGAATGGATGACATGCACCGACATCACATCCTTCCCTCCGGCCGGATCGTGTGTGTGTCGTGCGTGGGGGGGGGGGGGGG